GTGACCTCTCTGCTTCCCATAGCGTCCAACACCAGTTGACACTGGTATTTTAGAGCCAGATATAATAATAAAGGAAGGACAGTCGAGTATCAATGGAGTGTAAAGTCACTGTCATTTTGCTCTAAATGTGCATTTTTAAAACAGCCATTCTCATCCAGGGTAGCATGGAATCTTAGGGTAACTCTAGAGGATGATAGGGGTTCCTTGAGCTGTGTCTGATTGACCTCCCATTTTTTGGTATCTGCATGGTTCCAATGCCAAGGCCACTTGGCAAAGCGAACTGCATAACACACAAATTTTTTGTTAGCTGTTTGTAAGGGTAGCATTGCCCCATTGACCTCCAATTAACTGGTATTAGCAAAGGTTCCCTGAAAATGATTTCAAGGGTTCCTCAAGGACAACAAGGTTCATAAAGGATGCTTTAGCAACCCCAGATATCAACACAAGTGTCCAAGACAGGGTGAGCCCTGTAGCAGATAAGCCCAGACTAAGAGACACTTGAGTGAAATCCAGTGCAGTGCATGCCTTTCAAAGCTGTTTTTTTGACTGCCTGCACAGCTAAGAGCTCCAGGGCAACTGAAATGCTTAATAGGCAACACAACAGTGGGTTCAATTGGGGGGCGGCTTACTTGTCAAATGAAGTTTTCCTATGTTTACTAGGCAATAAATGCACCAAAGATTTGCATGCAACATACATGCATGACAGCTTAGTATTAAACCTCTGACAAAAAGCCTCGTCTGCTGATATATTCTCACCAACCATTCAGTTTTCTTTCCTTCAAGGCTTACATCACGGCTGTGGGAACTTGGTCAAAGTAAATGTTAGCAGAAACTAGGGATTATTTACTGAAGGAAATGTGGCAGAACATCTTGTGTAGTTAAATCTATTGTCAGCACAAACCTTTAAAAATAACTTTGGAATCAACATTTTACTGGTAGGTAATTGTAGTTCTATAATTCTGTGACCTGACATTCAGGATACATAGTTTGACTATCCTAAACAGTAATTCTTTTCTGTTATGTTTGTCCTGGGAGGCAGCCTCACATCTAGGGAATAATATAGTAACTGGATTTAATATGAAAATAGGAACACATTCAGGTTCCATGTTTCCTTTCACTATTACAGAATGATTTATACTGTAAATAATTACATCTAGTTTTTTTATATCATATTTCATGTGTTGTACAGATTATCTGTTTTTGGACCTCATGCGCATAAAATGTTGTCTTCTGGACAATCAAATTATCTTGATGTGTTAGGTTCCCAGTGGTATTCTCTAGTGAGGCTGCATATAAGCATACCTCTCTTTGTGCTGGGAGCACTCCCAACACAGAGACTGGGCTACCACCTAGAGCGCTGGGTCTTGTACTAATGACCGGAATATGGGACTCCCGGTCAGGTCATCTGATCGCTGTGATAGCCTCTGATTGGCTATCACAGTGATCAGCCAATATATATCTGGCCTAGGGGCGGACTGACAACTCATGGGGCCCCCGGGCAATAGGGGATCATGGGGCCCCTGTGTCCTTGCCCAAACTCAAAAAAGCCTATGAAAAAGGTACCAGGGGCATCTCATGGTGCCCCTACTGACCGAGTGCCCGAGTTTCCAAATGGTCAGTCCACCCCTGATCTGGCCCATATATTTTATTTCTCTTCTGCAGGGGAGAAAGATGTAAATAAACAAAAGTGTGAAAAAAAATATTAAAGATAAAAATAGCTAGATCAAGGTTTATTCTAGGTCAGTCCCAGGCTTAGCGTTAGGCTCAAGGTAAGGGTCAAAGGTCAAGGTCATGGTCAAAGGTCAGAGTCAGTATAAAACTAACCCTGGCACTGACTTGTATTTAACTTTGGTTTAGGAATTATATTTTTTTATTATATATATATATATATATATATATATATATTTTTACACACAGGTATTTTTTTTCTTTCTCTGCAAGGAGACAAAGATACAATGTATCTCTCTCCTCCATTCGTAAAGAAAACACAACATTAGAGGCTATCATAGCGATCAGGTGACCTTTATCATGGGAGTTTTGGGTCCTGATCATTAGTATGGGACCACGGTCTCAGTGCTGGGAGCTAAATTAAAAAAAAGAATTTGGACTATTTTTGGCCAGTTTTCCTTTGATGTTTAAAAAAAAATCAGGAGATATCCATTACCATTTAACACCAAATGAAAGCCAATTTGTCCTGAAAAAAACCAAGGCATACTCCACCTGGATACACAAAGTAGTTGCGATGATGTACAGTTTTACTAACGCATGTCAAAGTTGCAAAATTGCATTAACATTTGTTTTACCCTGTGTCACTAAGGGGTCAAAGAGACTCTTTCAGCAGAAAAAACAAAACTGCTGCAGGTATGGTGGTGTGTGCACATATCTGCAACAGCCTGCTAAACTCTCATTTTGACAGGTAAAGCACTTCTAAGTAGTATTTGAGGTTTTAGAAAAAGGAAAAATGATCGCACACCCGGAGGCTTGATGAAAAATGTGAAAAAATCTTTTATTAATCCTTAACCACTTGCCTACCAGGCACTTATACCCCCTTCCTTACCAGGCCAATTTTCAGCTTTCAGCGCTGCCGCACTTTGATTGACAATTGCGCGGTCATGCAACATTGTACCCATATGAAATTTTGATCATTTTTTTCTCACAAATAGAGCTTTCTTTTGGTGGTATTTAATCGCCACTGGGCGCTTTACTTTTTGCGCTATAAATTAAAAAAGTGCAAAAAATTTGAAAAAAAAAAAAAAGTTTATTTGTTTCTTTTATAAAATTTTTCAAACAGGTATTTTTTCTCCTTCACTGATTTGCGTTGATGAGGCGGCACTGATGGGCACTGATAGGCGGCACTGATGGGCACTGATAGGCAGCACTAAAGGGCACTGATAGGCAGTACTAATGAGGTGGCACGGATAGGCGGCACTGATAGACAGCACTAATTAGGGGTCACGGATAGGCGGCACTGATATGCAGCACTGATAGGCGGCACTGATAGGTGACACTGATGATGGGTACTGATAGACGGCACTGACTGGCATCACTTCTGAGCACTGACTGGCGGCACTGACTGGCACAACCCCTGGGCACTGACTGGTGGCACTGACTGGCAGCACTGCTGGGCTGCACTGGTGGGTGGCACTGGTGGGCAGCACTAGTGGGTGGGCACAGGTGGGTGGCACTGGTGGGCACAGGTGGGTGGCACTGGTGGGCACAGGTGGGTGGGCACAGGTGGGTGGCACTGCTGGGCACATGTAGGTGGCACTTCTGGGCACAGGTAGGTGGCACTGCAGAGTGGCACAGGTGGGTGCACTGCTGGGCACAGGTGGGGGCACTGCTGGGCACAGGTGGGGGCACTGCTGGGAACGGGTGGGCGGGGCTAGTGGGCGCACTGCTGGGCGGAACTTGCGGGTGTCACTGCTGGGCACCGATCATCAGGGCACTGATCATCAGTGCCCTGATGATCGGTGCCGATCCCCGCTCTGACAACTGCCGGTTCTCGGCAGTACTTTCCTCACGATCTGACAGCGTGAGGAAAGTGCAGCCGAGAACCGGCACTTGCATTTCCCTGTGATCAGCGTGTCATTGGACACCGCTGATCACGTGGTAAAAGGCCGGTGGGATCGGCCTTTCACCACATCACGTGATCAGCTGTGTCCGTAGGACACAGCGATCACGGAGATCGCCGGGTGCGCTCCCCCTGAGGCGCGCAGGAGAGCGCGTTCTGGGAGGACGTCATATGACGTCCACTCAGAACTGGCCGGCCGCGGTGAAGCCGTCATTCGGCTATGCGCGGTCGGCAAGAGGTTAAAGAGGACAAACAGCACAAGGACTGTGCTAGTTGTTAACGCATTTCACATGGTCACATGCTTCATCGCAATTACGATTAATCACATGACCGCGTGAAACGCTTTAACAGCTAGCACAGTCCCTGTGCTGTTTGTCCTCTTTTTATGAATTAATAAAATTTTTTTTACATTTTCCATCAAGCCTCCAGTGTGCGACCATTTTCCTTTTTCTACATAATCATGGTGGAAAGCCAGGGTCTGCACCTGTATGAGGCTTGAGTTAATTGTTTTACCTGTATCTTTTCTCTTCATAGTATTTGAGGTTGCCGTTACAGCCCAGCCCCATCATTTCCCCAATGTCTCATCTCTATGATGGGTTGCTTTGTTGGGAATGTATAAGAATGTACAAAAGACAGGAAGGGGTAGACAATCTTTAGCAGTATCAAGATGTACAAGAGAATTGCCTTTCAGAGTGTTTTGAGACCCAACCGCGAGGATTGGATTTTGGAGGTCTCTGCAGATATTTTATAAATGCATATATAAAGTAATAACAGTATTTTGGGTGTACCAACATCCACGATTTTTTTTTTTTTCATTTTATAAAAACTTTTATTTTTCCAAATTTAAAACATATAAAATCACTGGCTGATTCATTGATAAGAGAGGTATACTCTCATTAACATGTTGGTCATAATACAAATAGGTACATACACATAAATGTATAGCTGGTGGAAGCAGAAGATGATACAACTTGCCCGATGCTTTTCAAGTTTCTCTTTCTAAAAAGAAAAACAGTTTAGCTGGTGGTGACTTGAAAGTCCCATACACCTAAAATACTGTCTTTATTTATGAAATTGGGGATGTTGGTACCTCAGTCAGGCTCAAGTTACACCTTGTCTTTCACAATTTTTTGGTGGCAGGGTTTTTTTCCTCCTGATAGGGTCTCTTTAAAGTGTTACTAAACCTAGGACCCTGCATTTACTATATCTGGTTTCCCACAGTACACACAACATGGAAATGCAATTATTATAGTAAATATAAACTGCTAAATACCTTTTCTCATCAGCAGTTAGAGCAGTCTTGTGACTTCTATCAGTGTCCAGCCGAGCACTGTTTAAAGCTTGTAGGACAAATTTTAATTCTCCTGGAGGAGGATGCAGAACCCTTGACCTCTGTCTGGAGAGTGCTGTTTGGCCCTGTGCTGATCACATGCACTCTCCCAAGAAAAAAAAACTCTATACACACCAAACTGAGCATGTGCAGCTTGCCCAAGAGCCTATCAGGAGTTATTTAGTAGACACTGGACGAAGGGGAGGATCAGAGAAGACAGAATCAAACGTCCTTTTTACACAATGCAGAGGATTAACCCTTTAGGTTCCACAGTGAGTATAACAAGCATGCTTTACTGCATATACAGACTAATTCTACTGTTGTGGGTTTAGTAACACTTTATGGATCCATTCACATTGTGTGCAGTTACACGTGTTTTTATTCAAGGAAAAACACAAGCAACTGCAATGACACAGAAAACAATAGTTTTCTGTGTATCATATCCCGACCAGAATGCAGTGTTGCACTGCGTTCCAGAGCTGTGCGATACTATGTAACATGGTCCTGCTTTTCAGCGCACAGCAAGTGCAGTTCAGCATGCTGCTGTGCAGTGACATGAATGCAATGTTTACACTTAAAGTGGAGCTCCACCCAAAAGGGGAGTTCTGCTTTAAGGACTGCTCCCCTGCTCCCCATTAAGGATTGGCACCTTTGGGGGGCAGGGGGGGAGTTGGTACCCCAAATTTGACAGGTACCCGCTCTGCTCGCCTAGGCAATTGGAAGCGGAAGGTGTCCTCCCTCCCTGTTGGGACACATGACAGGTCCCAGAAGACTACAGGACCATTCATGAAGTGCAGTGCTACTCACGCATGCGCAGTGGGTACCCGGGTGTGAAGCCGCAAGCTATCACAGCCGGGTGCCCACACTGAAGATGCTGGCCTCCTGGAATACAGGACGGCCGGTGAAACGGGCTGCGGGGGACACACCACGGGACCAAGGGACAGGTAAGTGGCTGTTTTTTAAATGCTTTTGTAGCTGCTGACTTTTATTTTGTTGACAGCGTGAGTGGAACTCCGCTTTAATACACTTTAAATACTGTACACTTTAAATAATTTCTTGTACAAATAAAAGAGCGGTGTAATGTGATAAAATACAGATCACAGCCTTCCCTACTGCATAGTTTTCCAGCCCAAAATGCTGTGCAGACAGCAGCGTTTTGGCCTGCAGGGCAGTGTGAACAGACCCTAAAGGAAACTTCCACTGGCTAAAAAAAAAACAGATTTAGTTGCTAGAGAAGCAATTTTTGTTACTTCCTGAACTAATGTAGGGGAGCCCATAAAAGCCTAAGCAGCTGACTACACAGCCAGCTGAAATAAAAGGGAAGTAAGCACAAAGCAGCCTTACAAGTCTACATGTGGGTGGAATGGAGTCCCCGATTGGAGGTCTGATTTTATTTTACAGCTATACACTGATCAGACTGGCAGAATTTTGATCAGTGTGTGCTCATCTGCACTTTACAGAAGACGATTGTTTAATTGGCTATTGCCAAAGGAATGTTGGAATATTTTTATCAGTCAGCGACTGCAGCCAATCAGCAATTATGATTTCCCAATGTTCCTCCATCAACGTCACTAGCTAAAGTAGGAAAAAAAAAGTAAAAAAAAAAAAAAGTGTGACCAGCTTATTTGTTGGGGTGTGTGTAGAAGGCCTGCACTACAATTTTATGTGCAACTTTAGTCCCACTTTCCATTTCTCTGTGCAAGCATTAATTTTCCAATTCTGCCACATACATTCATTCCATGTAATTATATCAAGTAGACTTGTTCTACACCCTGTGAACACAATTTACCAGAAATCTATTCTATGCTTGCTGTATTGGCTTAGTAATTAGCACAGATCGTAGGAAAGTCCGCACAGATCTGGAACTTAAATTACTGGCATCCTCTGGAATGAAAGTTTAATTTCTGCTGAGATATTTTCTAAGGCCTTTGGACATGTAGTGATTTGGGGGCTTCTCCTTTTCTTGCTACAATACTGAGAGACTGAGAAAGATAACTGTGATGATAATAAATGCAGAGCCTCCCATTGAGCAAGCAAAGTGCTGGCAAGGCTTTGTTCAATATTTTCAGTAAAGAAAAAGTTAAACCAGAAGCAAAAAAACAAAACAAAAAACCACACCTACATGTATACATATTTTCCCATTGGCCTTTTGGTCAGTCTGGATGATGACACAAGTCCTTTTTTCTCCTTTTCAGTGGCGGCTGGGGGGTGGTCATTACTGCTGCACATAATGACGAGCGCTTATGAGCGCTGTGCAGTAAACAGTTAGCCTAGGCACTGACAATGCTCCTGCTTGCAGGTTTATGACAGCAACCTTAGTGGAAGTGGCTTGAATGATGTTAACTGTCAATCAAACTGGAATACTGGGGACATCTAGTGACAGAAAATAATCACTGCAGAGGCAATCTCCATATTAAAGTTGAGTATTGCAGCAAAAGCTGTATTTATATTGCTACATTGCTGTATTACTACTGGACTAGTAATTGTATTCTTGTAATTTTTTTTATTAGAGTTCACCTTTAAGAGTTTGAAGTAACTTTTTAAAAACCCTTTCATTGTATATAGTTTACCTAGGGGGACTTTTTTTTACAACAAACCTGGAGTTTACCACTTCAAGTCCGGACACTTTCACCCCCTTCCTGTCGAGGCCAAGTTTCAGCTTTCAGTGCTATCACACTTTGAATGACAATTGTGCGGTTATGCAACACTGTACCCATATGAATTTTTTAGCATTTGTTTAGACAGATAAAACTTTATTTTGGTGGTATTTATTCACAACTGGGATTTTTATTTTTTTTTTTATTTTTTTACACTGATTGCTTTTACACCCATAAAGGCTGTATAAGCAATCATTTCTCCTTTTTTCTGGCTGCATTCCTGCAGCCATTGAGAAATACCGAGCGAGCTGTAATTGGTCACAGCTTTTCACATGGTACAAGGCTGTTGTTGTCTTGTATCATGTGACCTCTGTGATCATTCACAGATTTCACAAGTAGTAAGCAATGATGTCAAGAAGTGACATCTTGTTTACTACTATTCATGTGATCACTGAGTGCCCAATCACTGATCATATGAATTGGGACCTCACACAGAGGTCTCATACAGTGATCTGTGTTTCACTGTGTCCAGAGGACACAGAGAGCACTGGATTGTGGTGCTGCACACTCCCAGGCACACAAGCAGGGGATGGTGACACAGCAGGCAACAATCGCGGTGCTGCGCGCTACCAGGGAGCACGCACAGGCAATGGATGTGGAGGGACATTTTTAGAACACCCATGTGGACACGCAGGCACAGGGAGAACATGCAAACTCCGGGAAGGTGGTGCCATGGGTGGGATTTGAACCAACAACCCTAGTACTGCCAGGCAGAAGTGCTAACCATTTAGCCACTGTCCTGCCATATATATATATATATATATATATATATATATATATATATATATATATTATATATATACTGTATACTCAAATATACTGTATGTCTTTTAAAAATATAAATTACATTTTTGGAATGCATTTACAAATATATGTAAAAATATATGTTAAAATGACTTTTTTATATGTAAAAAAAATCTGAAGAAAATATTTTAAAAAAATATATTTTTAAAAACATATTTTTTAAAAAATATATTCTTCAGATTTTTTTTCACATATAAAAAAATATGAAGAATATATTAAAAAAAATATATTTTTAAAAATATATATTTTTTAAATATATTCTTCAGATTTTTTTTAACATATAAAAAAGTAACTTTACATATATTTTTACATATATTTGTAAATGCATTCCAAAAATGTAATTTATATTTTTAAAGACATACAGTATATTTAAAATGTATTTTTAAAAATATTTTTCAGATATTTTGTAATAAAAACACATTTCAACATGCAGTATATATATATATATATATATACTGTATATATATGGCAGCACAGTGGCTAAACAGTTAGCACTTCTACCTGGCAGTACTAGGGTCATTGGTTTGAATCCCAGCCACGGCACCACCTGCCCGGAGTTTGCATGTTCTCCCTGTGCCTGTGTGGGTTTTTTCCGGGTACTCCGGTTTCCTCCCACATTCCAAAGACATGCTGGTAGGTTAATTGGATCCTGTCTAAATTGGCCCATGTATGAATGTGAATTAGGGACCTTAAATTGTACACCCCTTGAGGGTTAGGGACTGATGTGAATGTACAATTTATATGTAAAGTGCTGTGTAAATTGACGGCGCTATATAAGTACCTGAAAATAAATATATATATATTGAATATGGCCAAAATTGTTTTATTTCAAACATATGGCAATATATTTGGGAAGAATATTTCAAAAATATATTTCAAATATATTTTTCTTCCATATGGGAAGAACCGCTTGCGATTTGAACAGGAATGCGGTGTGATTCCTGTCCAAATCGCATGCGGTTTCCCATACTGCTCTGGAGCTGTCATTTGTCTACAGTGCTGAATGTCCTTAGTCAAGACCAAAATGTGCTGGATATAAACCCTTGGCTTGGCACAGTGGATTATGATTTATTCTGCCCAGACATTTATTATACAGGTAAGGTCCTTTCACTATTTTCCTCTTGGTTAGCCCCCTATGCTTTTTTTTAACCCTGTAGCTGCCACCCAGTGTGTGCTCCACCCACCAATCTAGTGTCTTTGACTTTCTGTAGATCACCATCCTCTCCCATCATCTAGGATCTGCAGCGAAGTTCCCATTGATCAGAGGCCCTTTCTGTGTTAGCAAGGCATTACCTGATCAGACATGGAATGCACAGCTGCTTGCAGTGCTCACAAGGCTGGAGGAGATGTATAGGAGATCTGCCCCCAAGCTGGCAGCACTTCCGCCCTATACCCACAGGTATATGGTGGAAATGAGACTGCTGCGTTTTGCATGGGAGCAGTGGTCCACTTTCCAGTGTGCTGACAATAATAGGCAACCACATAGTAAAAATTAAAAAAGAATGCCACCTTCTTTCAGTTAGGCTGCTTAACAAATTATGTAAGGCTACTTAATAAGCAATATGTCAGCCTACCATGGCCACTCTGCAAGAATGAGCAGTGTTGTGACTAAGCGCTTAACTATGTGAAATGCGTTAACAGCTTGTCAGTCCTCTGTGCTGTTTGACCCATTTTTGGAAGAATAAATTATCTTTCATTAAGGCTCCATGTACACTGCAGCTGATAAACTCACATTTAGGAGCTTTTCTGCATTTTTTTCAGCAGCCCCTGAACTCTCCCTAATGTTTTCCTATGTGTCCATGTACACTTTGTCATTTACAGTCATTTACAGGCAGTTGATTTTACAGTCTTTTTTTGAACGCACCAAACTTGCGTTCAGGATTAGATTTTATCAGCATTTTATCGGCTAACTGCATTTATAAGCATTTGTGTTTGGAAATTGTTTTTAACTCTTCCATTTCCAGATGCTGTCCTGAGTCTTTTTTCATCATGAAAAATGCATGCAAAGTGTTTTCCCGGTACTCAAATGAACCTGGTACACCATTCTATGAGGTTTCACATGAAAGAAAATATGTTACACACTGCTGCAATAATTTCTGCACAGAAATGAGCTGGAACACATCCAAACACCACAGAAAAAAAAGACAGCTAATCTCAACAAATACTGCTCTCTCTGCTTCTGCTCTCTCTATTTCTCTGAAATAGTTAATTTTGTACTGTTTTTCAGTGCATTCTGGGCATTTTGGAAGGTTTCCTGAGGTTATCTTTAAAAAATGCTTCTAAACGCAAATGATCATAAACGTGCATAAACGTGGTATGCAAACGCGGCTAAACAGATGAATTTTAACCTACATTTTCCAGCAGTCAGTTTCCATCATTCAGAAGTGTCCTGTGTACATGGGGCCTTAGCCTCCAGTGTGTGGCCATTATCTTTTTTTCCTTCGAAGAATACGCAGACCAGGGTCGGACTGACAACTCATGGGGCCTCCGGGCAATAGGGGATCATGGGGCCCCTGTGTCCTTGCCCAAACTCAAAAAAGCCTATGAAAAAGGTACCAGGGGCATCTCAAGGGGCCCCCTACTGACCCCGGGCCCTCAGGCAGTGCCCAAGTTTCCAAATGGTCAGTCCGCCCCTGACGCAGACCTGGTTAGGCAGCCCAAGGGCCGACCTAAAGAGTGCACATTGCAGGCTACTCTAGAGAGAGAGCAGACTGGCTACGATCTAGTGTCTTTGACTTTCTGTAGATCACCATCCTCTCCCATCATCTAGGATCTGCAGCAATGTTTCCATCGATCAGATATAGTCAAAGACAGTAGCAAGTAACTTGTGGTACAGGGGCAGACTGATCATTTGGAAACTCGGGCACTGCCCGAGGGCCCGGGGTCAGTAGGGGGCCCCATGAGATGCCTCTGGTACTTTTTTCATAGGTTTTTTTGAGTTTAGGCAAGGACACAGGTGCCCCATGATCCCCTATTGCCCGGGGGCCCCATGAGTTGTCAGTCCGCCCCTGTTGTGGTGTCCGCTCTTAGGCAGGACCAACACTTTTGGCAACATTCTCATGGTTGTAAAAAAATGATTGATGTTTTAAGTTTGTGAATATGATGATACTTGCTTTTAGATCCCTTTTAAATGCGTAAAATTGTCCCGATTTTTTTGAATACCAGAATGCATGCTATGAGTATTTGCAGACACAGATTTTTGGATTTTGAGTTACAGATCTGAACAGAGTGCATGTTTCTGCAGCCTGTGTGAATGTCTCCATTGAAAACAATGCAGCTGTGTTCAGATCTGTAAATAAATTATGCTTGTAAATACATTTTTTATGATGCCTTAATAGTTGGAGTATTGGCTTATTTTAAATAATTACTGTGCAGATTGACATATGAAAAATTTATACTTGGCCCATTATTTAAATTTACCTGTTTATTTATTTATTTTATTTGAGTGTGACACTTCAGCTTGAGCATCAGAAGTGAAAAGTTACATGAAGTTTGACAATTGCAGCTCTTTCAACTGGCCAACTTTACAAACAATTGAGGCATAGCAGAGAAGCAGCAATGCAGTATATTTATCTGTGTTCTTTGTATATTTTTTCTTCCTCTGAACACCAATTAAGGGGGGTATTATAACTGCCACTCACAACAATGAAGGAACATTTATTATTACTGCCACTCATGATAATGAAGGGGGGTTTATTATTACTTCCATTGAACAATAAGGGGGGGTTATTGTTGCCTCTATTGATACCAGTTTTCTACTACTGTTACTGACACTGATGACGGTACTAATTTTGCTCACGTTTTCTTATGAGTATACCCCCTGACCCCTATTTTGTTTAAAATATAGAAAAACATAGGAGGAAAGGTGCCAGACTACAAACCATATGCATTTCTGGTCCTGTTATCTCACTGCTGATTTATCTCACTGCTGATTGAAAATAATAGGCTCTGCAGTATTGATTGAGTTTATTTATTGGAAGAAGAAAGGTACTTTTTAATGCAAAATAACAGGTTTTGTTAATGTTGGCATGTGCCCTATTGATTTGTATATAGTGTGAATTTTTTTTTTGCAATGATTTCATTTCTTTTAAGTCAAAAGCATTAAAAATGTAACAAAGCTTTAAACACAGAACTTAGAGCCAGAAGATTATATTATTTTTTTCAACCTCATAAATAAACTAATTAAAAATGTAATCAATGCACTTTAGTTGTATATAGTGTACTTAACCTCCCTATCGGCCTGATTATGTCAGTATTTCTGTGCTCAAATTGGTACATTTTTTTGCATGGAAATATGTATTTTTTTTATTGTAGGCCGGTAATTTTTAGGAATACCTCACTGAAATCTGTCCGAACAAGAGTCTATTAAACATTCCGGATATGATAAAATTTGAAACACGAAATCATAAATTATAATATAATAAATAATCATAAAAAATAATAATATAATAGTAAATTTAATTCAATAATATAATCAAACCAAAAACACTGAAATTTGAAATATAGTGCCAAGTTTGCACATCACTGAGCAAAGTCGCAAAATCGTTTTCAGTGTCTGATGACGAATTTCCCCACGAATCATTATCACTCAATTCTGCAAGTGGTTCTGATTTACTATCGCGCTGTTCTCTAGCTGGTCTAAAACCGCTTTTTGACCTAAAGGGACGCTTTTTGGACGCCATGGACAGTTTCCAGGCAGAAAGAACAGTAAAAATGTAGGCAGGGCACAGGACAAAGCACTAGGGACAAAATATATGTGAAATGGTTTGATACAGTAATGTTTCATTATGTGATTTTAGTGTATTGAGTGAATGTCACTTTTGAAATTTTTTAATTTCCCCCCGGTTCCGTCCCCTGTATGTCCCGACACTCACAGGGACCGGAACCCAGAAGACCGATGCTAGCATCAGCCGGAGGAGACTGCAGGGGGGACATCGTGGGAGCGCAGGACAAGGTAACTGCTGGAGGGAATCCCTGAGCAACGTTGCAGTGTATTCCTGAATGTAGCTCAGGGTTACCGCTTCTGGTACTGAAAGTTAACCCCGAGCTACACTCAGGAATACCGCCAGGGGGTTTAATATCCATATGGAACAGGAGAAACTTTGAACAACTCAGGAAAATGTGAAACGCAAGTAAGTAATAGTAAAGACAGAAGAAAAGTTTGAATCCCCCTTTCTAAAACTCATGGAGTTTGAATTTTAATGGACAGCTGACTCTTTTATAGAATCCACTTTTAACTTCCTTGGAACAATTTTAACTGATTACTTGAGTTTTGAGTGACAATCCAGTAATAATTATGAAAGTGTTACTAAACCCACAACAGTAAAATCAGTCTGTATATGCAGTAAAGCATGCTTGTTATACTCACTGTGGAACCTAAGGGGTTAATTCTCTGCACTGTGTAAAAAAGCCATTTGATCCTGTTTTCTCAGTCAAATGTCCTCTTGTTCAAATGTCCACCTGATAAGACAGACGGAACCTGTAGCCACATGCACATGCTCAGTTTGGTGTGTATTGCTAGAGAGGTTTTTTTTTTTCTTACTTGGGAGAGTGCATGTGATCAGCACAGGGCCAATCAGCACTGTCCAGACAGAGGCTCAGGGGTTTTGCATCCTCCTAGAGCAGAAAGAAAACTCCTCCTACAAGCTTTAACCAGTTCTCTGCAGAAGTCACAAGACTGCTCTAAATGCTGATGAGAAAAGGTATTTAGCAGTTTATATTTACTAAAATAATTGCACTTCCATGCTGTGTGTACTGTGGGAGACCAGATATAGTGAATGCAGGGTCCTGGGTTTAGTAACACTTTAATAATACCAGACTTATATAAGCTAAGAAAAGATGCAAGTTTGCCCAAAAGTGAAATTTTTGTAACGGGTGGAGCCAGTTTCTTATATGTCTTGATTGTGGCAACATTTAAATCCTCCTGCCAATTATATAGTCCAGCTCCTCCTGTAGTATTCTTCATAACACAAAATTAATAAATAAAAACAACAGGAAATGTGAGAACCCCTATAATAGATATAATTTTTGGGTGGACTGACTCTTTGAATCGAAAGTGCCTTATTTTGAAACATTATTGGAAAGTTTAATAATTTATTTTACATTTTTGTATGCCTTGTCTTCCATATTTCCATATTATTTGCAAAAAAGTGGATGCGTGTAAATTAATAAATTATATTAATAAAAGGTAACTGTTGTAAGCTCCCTGTCAATACAAAACAAAACAAGCAATTTATACACTGAATACTATCATTACAGTTATTAACATCCTGGATTTTGCGCAGTCATCACAAACCAGCAGGGCGGTAGAAATTATTTTTTTCTAGGGTCTTCAGCTTGCATTTTTATTGCCCCCCCCCCCTCCAACTTCTCTCCCTTGAGCTCTAAAGGCAGCTGACAGGGGCAACAGCTATACATGCTGTTGCACTCAGCAAGCAGTAGCACCTATCAAATGCGACTCATTCACCATGCGCTTGTGGCATGTGTTTATAGGGGTTAAAACAGGTGGTGAAGAGGCAACATTCACCACTTCCAGCTTGGCATATAGTCAAATGATGACCTGGTGGGATATTCACTGTTCTTCCTGGAACTTGCCTTGCATGTACACCATGGGCCACGCTGCAGCAAGATCTGTCACCTGTTGGGTCCACTGGACACAGTGGATGACTAATCAGTGTGATCACTGTGACCGATCACAGCAGATCACATGACAATTATACTCAATGGATGGCATCCATTCATTCAGCCTATTGTGTACTATTGTGTTAATCTCTGTGATTGGTCACAGTGATCACATCAAATCCACTTCATTCAGTTAAAATGGTTGCTTTTAACGGTGAAATTCACTGATAAAAGCAAACATAATATGTAAAAAAAAAATCCTGATCACTTCCCCAGAGAACTACAATGTTACTGTGGTAACATTATATTGCTCAGGTCACAGTGTGTAAAAAAAATCATACCAAAAAACTAAATTGAAAAAACATTATTTAAAAAAGGTTTTTTTTTTTTTTACATACTGTCAACAGTCAGTGTCCTTGATCACTGCCACCCCAATTATATGATGACACTGTACTGCACCGGTGACAATATGTAAGAAACAAATTGTGAAAAAACTATTTTTAAACAAATTTCATTTTCAAAAAAGTTGTGACAAAAAAATTACAACTTCAAAAAACTAGCCATGACTTTTACTAAATACCTTGGATTGTCTAATTTCCAAAAAGGGGTAATTTTAGGGGTATTTGTACTGGCCTGGCGTTTTCAGGCCTCAAGAAATCAAATAGGCTGTCACTACATCAGGAGTGAAATATACCAAAATTTGTAGACTCTCTAAATTTCCTACAGACTAAATAATATATATTGATTTGGGTTATTTCCACTAAATAAATGTAGCAAAATACAGTTTGCCCTAAATTTATGAAGAAAGATTATTTATTTGCAAAATTGTATACCAGAAACTAAGAAAAACTTGGGTTATTTTTAAATTTTTCGGTATTTTTTTTAGCAAAAAATAAAAAAACAAGTGGTGATTAAATACCATCAAAAGACAGCTCTATCTGTGTGAAAAAATTCATA